AAAAGTTTCACTTCCACACTAGGTCAAGAATACTACCTGGATTTATGTTTCCTCTTTTAAAGACCCAATTAAGCAAAATAACATATATATATATATATATATATATAATGTTTATAAGTAGGATTTCGAAACTACCAATGAAATTCACAACTGCCCTATAAGCCAAGGGCACTCGTGGCAATGTGGCGTAGTAGTTAACATGTCAAGATCATACGCTTCACTGTCATGGTTCGAGTCCTGCTTGGGGTGTTCAACTCTGCAGAATTAAGGTTGAGACTGCCGTCCATTCTGGACATGAACACCTTTTGCAAAAGCTAGCCTATGTTAAATTTGGAAAATTCAATTACCAGTATTTTATCACCTTAAACAAAAGAAGGGAATACAATTTTGATATAGAATGGTTTGGCTAATTATCGGTCTTATTGGTCCTGCCACTTTTGGTCGAATGTTTGTGTGTGTGCGTGCTAACGTCTATACACAATACCGGTCGCAAATCAGAGTAATCACAAAAGGCCCTGGTCATCAAATTTTAATGACCCATTAAAGCTTAAGTCTGTAAGCAAGCATGCTTGAGATGATGAGATGTGAGCTTGTAAGCGTGTAAGTCAGGTAATGAAACCACTTGTCATAACCTCTCAGTCTAGGGTCATTGGACAAGCATGATTTGGTTGTGCAATCTTGTACATCTTGTTTGTTTGATGAACCTAATCGAACAGGGAGGGAAATTTAGGAGGATGGTTCGTGGACTGCATCAACCTGAAGGTCGTATTAGAGCCAAACGGCTGCGGTACATCGAGAATGAGCCGTTGTCTTTTGGTGAGATCGACCTTCGAATCTCTTATTCATGCACTTTTATACGAAATGAAAGTCTCCCCAATAATGCTATACCTCAATCGATTTGGGTTCTTTTGCAGAGCGTTGGTAACTTTTACTAACTCACAAACACGATTAAGTGATATTCACAGTACCCACATATGCATTATCCAACCTCGCGCAAAGGAATATAAATGTTTACCACCAATAGTTCTGGATGACTGATTCTAAACCTCATCCAAGTCGCGTTACATTTGATACAACATGAAATACAATTATCCAGTTTTCTTCTTGGTTTTATGTACCTTTTCGAATAGCCAACCCTTTTGGTGAACACCATAATCTACGTTGATGAGATGGTTTGGACAGCCAATCGTCAATCACAATTTCTTCCTCTTCCATTTGCAGGGTTTCAGTGATTGTGTTAAGTGTCTCATCGACGCAGGAGCCAAATTGGGCCACCTTGACAGATCCGCTCTCAGCGTGCTCCATTACGCCGTAGATGGTGAGAACACCCGCGTGATTCGTCAGCTCATCGATGCTGGAGCCAACGTCAATTCACCTGACTCAGATATGTTATGGACTCCGTTGCTAAGATGTGGTAAGGAAAATATATCATCTTTGTGACTCATCATTCGGCATTTATAAGATGGGAAGTATCACAGCCAACCAGTTAGTGTACGATACAAATTTATGATGGGCTCAAGATAAATCATTTATTTCATGCTTGAATCTAGAGCTCAACATAGCTTCTTCAATAGGAAAATTAACGTGTAAAATGATTAGTTTAGTGGCAGAATTACGAAACCAAATGAGCTCCTGAAAAGCATAATCAAGTGCACAATAATTTCGGTCCGTTTTGCGACAATTTTACGGAATAGCATAATTTGCTAAAGGCTAAAGGGTAAAGGGTAAAGGCAATAAAAATGCGTAGTTTTTAGCCGAAAAATGAAGACCATGAATAAACTAAACAATTATAAATTAAAACGCAACAAAATAGTTAAAGAGATGTATTAACCCTATTTAGTTTAAGGTGTGAAGGACTGGTAGTTGAATTTTTCACACAATAGTATGCTTGACAGTATGTGGAGATTATACGCTGCACTACCAGGGTTCGAGTCCAGCTAAGGTTGCTGATGGAACGAGTTCCGACGAGGTCGCAACTGCAGTCCATTTCAGCCTGGTTAAGAACACCTTTTGTGATTCAAGGCTATATTAAATTCAATGGATACATGAGCATTGTAGGAAAATTGAGCTAACGGTCAAAAATAAAGTGAAAATAAATATGGTGAATACATCTCTTATGTCAGATCTAAGGATAGCCTCGAAAAACTAATTAT